ATCACAGCTCACAGCAACCTTCAACTCCTGGGCTCAAGTGAGTCTCCTGCCTTAGCTTCCCAAGTAGCTGGAACCACAGGCGCCTGCCACAACACCCGGCTATTTTTTTTGGTTGCAGCCGTCATTGTTTGGCAGCCCAGGCTGGATTCAAACTCACCACCTTAGGTGTATGTGGCTGGTGCCTTAGCCACTTGAGCCACAGGCACCGGGCCAAAATTCTGGGAATTATAGAAAATATTTAACTTTTTTTTTTTTTTTTTTGCAGTTTTTTGGCTGGGGCCAAGTATATGGGGTCAGCGCCCTACTCCTTGAACCATAGGTGCTGCCCGAAAATATTTTAACTTTTAATAAAGAGAGGCTAAAGGATAGGACAGCTATGGTCTAGCAAAGTTGGTGGGGTAGGCAAAGCAGGGCCAGAGCTGTACATAATGCTCTAAACGTGCCCTACGCTGCAGTCTCCTGTGAGCTCCCAGGACTGCTGCCCCTACCCCCGGCACAGACACAGGGAGGCACTGACCTCCGTGTAGATGGAGGGTGTGAGGTGGCACAGCAGGCGCACGTCGTCCTCTTGGCAGGCCTTCATGTCCATCATCAGGCAGGTGTGCAGATCACCCAGCTGAGTGGCTTGGGCAAATGACTCATACAGGTTCATCTTCCCTGCAGCAGCTTTGCTGCAAGATCACATGGAGCTCAGCCAGCAGCCTGGCCCCGACATCCACCTTTATACCCCTCGAGGTAGGCTCCCTCTTGGCAACAGCTTCTCTGCTCTAGATTTGCTAATCTGTCTCCCATCTCTCCCTGCTACCTTCCCCAAGGGTTTGACAACTTATAGGAACCATGAAACGCTTTCTCCACACCCTTCCCCAGTGCTCCAGATAGGACTCTGGCCACAACTAGTGAAGCTACTGACCATGAAAGTCAGAAGAGGAGGAGGCACAAGTCAGCATTTCCCTTGTGCTTTCTGGGCTCTAGAATAAAGGGCACTAACACCTCACACCATACACAAACCTAACTCAAAATGGCTTCTAGGCCTAAAAGTAAGACGGAAACCACAGAACTAAAACTATTTTCTCTTAGCAAAAACATAGGAATAACTCTTTGTGACATCAACGACACAAATGGCAAAAGGAAAAAATAAATTTGACTTCATAAAAATTTCATACTTTAGAAAGGATGCAGTGGCCCACATCTATAATCCTAGCACTCTGGGAGACTGAGTCAAGAGGATTCCTTCAGCTCAGGAGTTTGAGACTAGCCTAAGCAAGAGCAAGACCCCTGTTTCTAACTAAAAAATAGAAAAAGTAGGCCAGGTGGCTCACGACTGTAGCACTCTGGGAGGCCCAGACAGGTGGATAGCCTGAGCTCACAGGTTCAAAAGCAGCCTGAGCAAGAGCAAGACCCATCTCTAAAAATAGCTGGGCATTGCAGTAGGTACTGTAGTCCCAGCTACTCGGGACACTGAGGCAAGAGAATCACTTAAGCCGGAGAGTTTGAGGTTGATGTGAGCTGGGAAGCCAAGGCACGCTACCAAGGGTGACAAACAGGGTGACTCTGTCTCAAATAAATAAATAAATAAAATAAAACAAATAAATAAGAAATAGATAGCCAGGCATGGTGGTTCATGCCGATATTCCTAGCACCCTGGGAGGCTGAGGCAGGTGGACTGTTTGCACTTAGGAGTTACAAGACCAGCCTGAGCAAGAGTGAGATCATGTCTTTAAAAAAATTGCTGTGGCAGGTGCCTATAGTCCCAGCTTGGGAGGCTGAGGAAAGAGAATAGCTTAAGCCCAGAGTTTGAGGTTGCTCTGAGCTGTGACACCACAGCACTCTACCCAGGGCAATAGCTTGAGACTCTTTGTCTCAATTAAAAAAAAAAACAAAAACCCAAAACAAAAAAACAAAAACGATGCCATCAAAAAAGTAAAGACATGCCTTTCTTTACTTGGACAAAATAAACACACAAACAACAACAACAAAATAATGAAGACAATCCACAGAATGGGAGAAGATATCTGGAAATCATATATTTGATAAGGCGCTTGTATCCAGAATATATATAGGACATTTAAAAGTCAACAAGAAGGGCGGTGCCTGTGGCTCAGTGAATAAGGTGCCAACCCCATATACTAAGGATGGCAGGTTCGAATTTGATCCCAGCCAAATTGCAACAAAAGAACAGCCGGGCATTGTGCTGGTTGCCTATAGCCCAGCTACTCGGGAGGCTGAGGCAAGAGAATCGCCTAAGCCCAAGAGCTAGAGGTTACTGTGAGCTGTGTGATGCCACGGCACTCTACTCAGGGCCATAAAGTGAGACTCAGTCTCTACCCTCCCCCCTACCAAAAAAAAATAGCTGGGTGTTGTGGCAGGTGCCTGTAGTCCCAGCTACTCAGGAGGCTGAGGCAAGAGAATCACCTAAGCCTAAGAGGGGGAGGTTGCTGTGAGCTGTGATGCCACAGCACTCTATCGAGGGGGACAAAATGAGACTCTGTCTCTAAAAAAAAAGGGGGAAGGATTTGATTTTTTTGTGTTTTTTTTTTTTTTTGAGAAAAAGTCTCACTTTGTTACCTTTGGTAGAGTGCTGTAGCATCACAGCTCACAGCAACTTCAAACTCTTGTGCTCAAGTGATTCTCTTGCCTTAGGGTCCCAAACAGCTGGAACTACAGGTGCCTGCCATAATGCTTGGCTTTTTTTTTTTTTTTTTTGCAGTTTTTGGCTGGGGCTGGGGTGGAACCCCCCCCCCCCTGCATATGGGGGCGGCCCCGCCCTATTTTTTTTTTTTTTTTTTTAGAAACAGGGTCTCACTCTTGCTCAGACAGATCTTGAACTCCTCAGTTCAAGTAATCCACCCACCTGGCCTTCAGAGTGCTAGGATTACAGGTGTGAGCCACTGTGCCTGGCCTAAAAATGGGAAAGGGTTTTAATACACATTTCTCCAAAGAAAATATATAAATGGCCAATAAACACATGAAAAAACATTCAACATCATTAGCCATCATGGAAATATAAATTACAACCACACTGAGATTCCATTTCATGTCCACTAGGATGGTTAGAATCAAACAAACAAACAAACCTATGGCTCATGTCTGTAATCCCAGCACTTGGGAGGGTGAGGTGGGTGGATTATCTGAGCTCACAGGTTTGAGACCACCCTGAGCAGGACCAAAACCGTGTCTATAAAAATAGCCAGGAGTTGTGGCGGGCACCTGTAGTTCCAGCTTCTCAGGAGGCTGAGACAAGAGAATCACTGACCCCCAAGAGTCTGAAGTTGCTGTGAGCTGTGACGCCATGGCACTCTACCGAGGGTGACAAAATGAGACCTTGCCTCAAAAAAAAAAAAAAAACTAACCTAGAGTAGAAACTAAGAGGGGAAAAAACAAAGCCAGACTATAATTAGTATTGTGGAGCATGTGGAAAAATTATTAAAACTCTCCTGCACTACTGGTGAGAATGTTAGGTACTTGAGGCCATGCTGGAAAATAGCTGTGCAGTTCCCCACCAATGAAAAAACAGATTTTCTGCATGATCAAACAATTTCATTCTTAGGTACCCCAAGACAAGTGAAAACATACGTCCCCACAAACATGTATACATGAATGATCACAGCAGCCCTACTTGAAATAGCAAAAATGTGACAATAACCCAAATGTCCACCAACAGACAAATGGATAAACAAAATGTAGTTATCCAACATCAGAATAGTACTTGGGGCTCGGCACCTGTGGCTCAAGGGGCTAAGGCACCAGCCACATACACCTAAGGTGTCGGGTTCAAATCCAGCCCAGGGCCCATGAAGCAACAATGACGGCTGCAACCAAAAAATAGCTAGGCATTGTGGCGGGCGCCTGTGGTCCCAGCTACTTGGGAGGCTGAG